TGGGGTTCCCCCCCCCCCCCCCCCCCCCCCCCTTATCCGCTTAGATAAAAGGAAATAAAAACTTTCGTGTTATGAGGTAATGTTGTCACATCAAGATATATCGGTGCGAATTTGCTAACTAACGTAACGACAGCGTGTTTGTTGTGAAAACTGCTATATCTATTTCAAACGTATCTTCTTCAAACGAACAGCTATCATCACCATTATAACGCCTTTTTAATTACAAAAATTAATTCCACAATCCGGTGTCAGCAAAATGTTTGGAAAGGCTTTCTTCCGATTTTATCAGTAACGAGGCGAAATCATGCTAAACTCAGCAAGTCTTCATTGACCAAATAAACCAGCAGTAGTCGTATAAAACAAAATGTTGCGACTGGTTTATAACAAGAAAAATACTACTAATGTCTTATTACTTTATTCTGAGAAAGTGGATTAATATGGAACTATCTTGACCTAAAATTGACCTAATTATTCGTTTAAACCGGGTCTGGTAAATGTCCCCCGTCCCCCACGTTTCAGATTGTTCTAAGCCGCTTGCGGCTATGTTAAATGTAGCCTCCTCTGGTAACTAGTCGTGAACCTGCTAAAACATGTGCCAATACGAGTAGGTATCATGAATTATGAGGCATTAAAAAAAAATGTCTTTTTTTTATTCAGAACTCAAATTTTCATCATCTGACTTAGATTATGGGACTTTAGTTCATTTTGAGGAATAGGACTTAATTGCTTCGGCATACATTTTATAAGGATATTTGAAAATTGGTATTAAGCATTATTTGACATTTTGGGATACACCCGTTTTTATTTGTATGAAAACCAATTGTATTAATTAAAAATAAGTGTAACAGTGATCTCCCTTTTGATGTTCTCCTTACTTTAATGCGAGCAGCTAAGACCATTTAAATTTATAATTTCCGAAGCGTCAATTCATGAATAACACATAACATGGGACATTTTTATTTTAAATGAATACTTGATAGAAAGATTTTTCAAATAAAAACTACTGGGAATAATAACTCAAAACAAATATCAAAATACAAATCGGCGTCCATACTACAAATATGCCCACTGAATGTTTTGCACAAATACAGTGCATAGTATCATTGGGTATATGAAAGCTATGTGACATTCAGGGGTGGTGTTGCACACTTGACTTAGTTGACATATGGCTCTATTAATATATCATTAGCGATTTTAACTTTTATATTCATAAACTGGTAATGTTTTCACATTTGTAATTCAAATGGCACATTCTGCTCCTTATGTAGTACATAAAAGTTTTTGAATATTCCTTCCAGACTGACTAAACAGAAGAAAATAATTTAGAGCCCTTTCAGAAAAGATGATACGCTGACTAACGGATACGCCGACTTAATATGGCCAACCCCACTAAAAGGCAAGCCGCCCTAATCCCCTGACGGCCTCCTCGCCTCCACGCGCGCCTTTAAACGGATTAAAGCTCGGCTCCAAGTTTTAATCGTCAGGCTCCTGTCAGTGTGGAGGCGGGGAGACCATCGGGAAAGAAGGAGCATCGCTTTTAAGTGGATCAGCCATATTTAGTCCGTGGATTTGTTTTTCCGCGGATCAACTTGTTCTGAATGCGCTCTTGAGTAGATCCCTTAGTTCCTATAATGACTATAAGTAGGTCATAGCCAATATGTTTTAGGCATTTTGCGTGGTGGTCCACTTGAGAAAGGAATGAATTTAGGTCGTCACGTTATACAGCACACTTCAGATTTTAAGTA